CACATTAGTCGATGATTAATTTCCAAAGAATATTAAACTCACATGTGAGGTTAAAAGTTTAACATCATTCTGTGCTTTAAGTTTTTGTTTCTGCTGTTTTGAGCATTTAAATTCAAAGCAAAATCCTGACACTGGACTGTGACTCCCACTTTTAAATCTACAAAACTATTAATGTAGAAAACACTCATAAACTGCTTCAAATAATATGTAATTCTGATTCTCAAAATGAAGCCATATGTATGATAATTTTGTATGTTCACTGATGATGGGAATATGCAAATTAAAAAAAGAACGGAAGAGTGTTTGTAGAAATTTATTTGTGATAAAGTATGTATAAATATAAAACATACATATATGTTCTGTACAACAGACCTACAAGTACTGTGATTGTTAGACATATTTCAACTAAAACCTATCGTGTGCAAACAGTACATTCTCCGATGAATGTGGCGATGAAGGATAGGTCTAATTTCTCTCCCTGTTAAAAGCTTGTAGACAGGATTCCCTTCCTGCCAGGGAGATCTCTGGTTACAGTCATTCACTTCAACCTCAGCATCCATCATTCAATCACCCCAGTACATTTAACACCTCAGGTCACAGCTCAAGTTCCCTCCACTGAAAATAATGATTGTTAAGTGGAGTGAAGGGAAAATGCGTAAATGTTAAAACTAAATATGGCAGAAGCACTACAGTGAAATGTTGCATCCGCCTGTCATATCTTAAATGTATCAAAAATTAATAAAATTTAAAAAGGTTTAATTGCTATTAACCACAGGCTACAAAATAGCCTTGGTAACATCTTCTAAGAGGAAAATAGTGCCACCATGTGGCCCCATTGTGTACAACACCTGGTTAATCCACTGATGGCCTTACAGTGGACCCGTCAGAACCATTAAGGAGAAGCAAAAATTATGTACATTAATCTTTAGCTGCTTGCATGATATAATTTTTGTTCTCCTGCATGTAATGCAGATAGGACCTCAAATAACAGATGTATACCAACAATACTTTTTTTTTTTTGTTTTCACACACACAGGTGAAACTGTGGTCACCTGCAGTGCTCAATGCAAACACCCATGTCTATGGGCTAGAGAACAGTGATAGAAGTTATATCACAAACACACAAAGAACAAAACACAACAGCCTGTCAAAACGCACAACAAAGATGACGCACAAAAAACACAAAATCACTTCACCACTACACACTGTTGTATAACACTCATCTCGTAGTAGTCTCCTGGAGAAAAAGCTGGTAAACTAAGAGTGGAGGTGAGAGAGAGGCGCTGGGTGATGTAAGGCACAAGCGTGGTGCTAAGACTGTCCAGGGTCAGAGACACAGGCCGACGGGTCGAAGGAGAAAAGGTCACTGGTGGTGGTGTGTGCGGTCATCGGGTCGTTTGATATGAATCCTACGAACTCGCTCAATTCGTTCTCGCTCCTCGTCCTCATCCAGATGATGAGATCGTCCTGCAGCGCCCCCAGTAGCCTCCAGCAGGGCGTTGTCTGGACCCCTCCCATCATGGGACTCATACAGGAGGATGTTGAGGGTCTCCTCATAGATTCGTGCCTCAGGGAATTCAACCTAGCAGAGAAGTAGAGTGTTACACAACAGATTAGAGACATTAAACAACATATTGTAGCTCTATGCTTACAAAAGAGCAAAGAACTCTTCAGAGTGGGCATATTACAAATGCGCATTTACCTTTGTCTGCTTCTTTTCTGTGGCATAAACAATGGAGGTGCAGCACACTTCAGCAATCTTACGCCCCTGGCCATAAAATGACCAACAACAGATCTCATCCCCAATCACATCTTTGATGAAGAGTACCCGACCATTGAACCGCAATGACAGCTTGTCAAACAGCTCAATATTTTTCAGCATGTTGTCATCAGAATTGCTGGAGTTAAAAAAAGAGTTACAGGACAGTCATTTCATTTATTAAGGCAATTTTTATGATTTTACCACATTATGTTCCTTCTTTACTTCAGTTGAAGAGGACTCACCTGGTATATGAATATTTGTTGTTGCTTCGGTTATACAGCAGTTTGACAGTAGGCTGTGAAGACACATAAGTTTGTACTTTAAAACAAAAATCTAAACAACAATTTGATATTGAACATTAGAAATCCAGGTAAATATGTAAAAAAAAAAAAAATTAAAAAAAATCCAACATAACCCACCTTATTTGAGGTTGCAATAAGCTTCTGCTCTTCCTTGGATGATGTCATCAGAGGCACTTTACAAAGGGGTTCATAAGTTTCTTTGTTCTGGATGAGAAAAAAAAAAAGTTTTCTATTAAAAAAGTTCCACCTACAAAACTGAAACATTCAAATTATTATGGGAAGGATGCCACCTGGTGGAACACAGAAGCAAGGAGGGTAAAGGATATGCAACCCTACCCCAAAATAGCTCATTAATCTTTAGACTTTTTAAGTGGATTGGTTTCAAATTATTTTCAATCAGATTTTATGCCCCTAATAGTAGTTGAAAATAAAAAAAAAGTTTGAGCGAGATTTTTACCTGAATTTTTATACATTTGATTTTCTTACCCATGAATCATTTTTTTTTATTCAAAATGAACAGATATGTTGGATTTTTAAATGTTTTTAAGAAAGCAAATTAACAGAAAAAGTAAAAAAAATGAGACCTATTCATTATGAGTGGTAGGGTGGGAAATATAGTATGGTTATAAAAAAAAACAAGACCACATTGGTCTGATATACAACAAAGTCCACTGAAAATAAAACTTTGAAACGTTATCATTTAATCAGAACTTAATTTAAAACTCTAATTTTAGGTGGAATGCTGATGAATTTAAGAAATGATTCCAAGGAATATGACTTTTGTGGAGTTCATTTAACAAAAATTCAGATGATTTGATAACAGCTGAAGTATTAATATATTGCCCTGCAATCTGACAGCCCTCTACTGTGACGGTACCTGCAAGGCAGCTGTGCATTCATCAGCGAGGCCTTGGACAAGGTAATACTTGGCCTCAGCGAGCAGTTCCTCAGTCTCCCGTCGGCTGTCTGGGAGTGGCACTGCCCCGTCTCTAAGGTAGTTAAGGATTGTTCCAAAATGTTTTCCACAACGATCAATCAAGATCCAACCTATGGATATGAAAATGGTGAGACATTAGTAAGTGAAAGATCATGGCCAGTGCAGGGCTGATAAACTCTGCACATAATTTAAACATTTTCACCGACAGCTCACCTTCACTGTCTGTGAGGACCTCCATCCTGCCACTGAACATGGCTTTGAGCATTGTGTCCTGTTTGGTTAGTGTCTGCATTGTAGTGTAGTACAGTGCCCCACCCACATTTAACTTCACATATTTAGAGCTGGGGCTGGAACCCTTGAAGGATGTAGTCCGGGTTGTAGCTGCTGGCACTGCCGAGCTCACCACACTCTCTCCTGACATCTCTTCCTGGAGGAGAAAAGGTAAAACATAGCATGACACCTGGATCCAGGCTGGTATGTCAGTGGATTACTTTTGTTTAGGGCACTGGGTGGAAAAAAATACATTATTACCACAAAGGTCTATGTTTATGCAGATAGCTCTTTTTTTTAAACAATGACAATATCCGGCAATCCACCCACCCAACTGTGGCACTCCGCCCCAAGCCCCTTTGTTGTAACTAAAGCTGACGAAAGAATGACTTTTAATCAGGCCACAAATATAGTTTCATTTGAAATGGTGCAATCTATAATGGCAGCAGGACAGTGTATGTGGGATCAACTCAGAATAAATGTGTCCATGTTCATTGTGACAAAGGAAGATGTTGGGTATATGTATTGACAATAAGCTATAGCAGGCTTTTGCTACACAGTTATTAAAATGAATTCATTGTTAGTATTGTTACAAGATTTGTTGACAAAAAGGAAAAGTATAGAATATAACCATCCTAATCTTTTAAATGTGCAAAATGACTACAATAAATGTAGTGACCCTTGCGATTTATTTCTGATGTTGGACTCTGATACTGTAGGGCTTTACAAAAACATTCCCGATACTGCACAAAGCCATAAAAATCATTAAAGCGAAGGAAATTGTGTTATATAATAAAATAACGAGTTTTCTACATAAGAGCTATAGTAAAACTTATATTCTCCGCTCACAGAATTGTATTCGCAATATGAGAAACAAAATGAACTGTCTATGGCCCGGAGTCTTACAAAGTATTAAAAACATTTTAGAAGAAATAGCTCTTTCCATTAGTCATGATGAGACTGTCATGACAGAGCTACGACAAAGCTCTAACATGGCAGAGACAATTCAAAGACAGTACTACGGGCTTTTAACGTTACTGTGGGACTGCTTTACGTTTTCCTAACACTAAAAATAAGCGTTTTTATGTTATTACGATTGATCACAGTATTTGTTTTAACTCTGTGTAGGGTGAAACACCGCACCGCATCCCTCAATCCAGTTACGTTTCATAGTAATTTGATTTTAGCCAGCACCGCTAATGAGCTAGCTAGTTAGCATTACTTAAAGTTACCTATACTGTCACAAATTTGGCAAAAGATACACATATTATGACGTTGACTATTAAAACAACTTTCTCTACATGACGTTATTAGCGTCTTTGTAACTGGTTTTTGATAAAACATAAATATATTTACCATAGAACCCGCAGCAGACTTTTTAATTGTAGCTTGCTAACGTCAGTCAGCTAACACCCACTTCCTTCCGGTGCAACGCTGCGCAGATAGAAAAATGACGTCAACGTTGCCCTGCTCTGTTTAAAGAGACAGATAACATGAGTTTGTTAAACGTTGCTGAGTGTCCAAGATGGGGTGAAATGAGACATGAGTGATAATTCAGCTCTTCACTTCAACCAGCTTTTTGTCCTACTACTTTTATTTCACATATTGAAGAACATAGCTTTAATTTCATTAGCCGCCTGCACATTTCCGCTGCTGAAGGAGTAACAGTGATAACAGTCCCCCCCCTCGCCACCCACCCTACACACAGGACGACAGCTTTATCCGCCAGCAGAAATAAAAAGTCGCTGTTGTTACAACAGACTGAAGACAGTTTGGCATATATGGGGCCTGCTGTCGATAAAAAACTCTCATAAAACAAATTATACATTTGGACAAACACTACCCGGAATCATTTAGTGCGACACAGGGGATTAATGGCTGCAGTCAATGTACGGATCTCCTCTCATTGTTTACATTTCGAAACGGTATGTTGTTGGTGTTTTTGAGGCTGTCACTGACACAGGATCAAACCTAACCCCGCAATGAAGACAAATATAGCTAAATGAGTGTGAAAAGATTATCCGTGAGACAGTACAAGTCGACCAGCGGCGAACTAGCCCTGTGTGCTAACTATCCCAGCTCCATCTTTCCTGTGTCGCCCGCTGCTCCAGAGATGGCAAGTTAGTCTTCACCTTTTGTTTGGCTTTCCTCCCGCTCGGATCTCAAGGACACCCAAATGACTGAGGAGGTATAGCGCCAGGTGAGCCTGAAGGCCAGACAAAATCTTCGTTTGAGCAATATCACAGGTGAGTTCACTCACAACAGTGTGATAATGTGCAGTTGTCGGAATGCTGTGTTATCACAGTCACAGTGTTCATAAAGCGCAGATATGTGATCTGCACCCATTGTCAAAATGTACTCGATACAAGCATGCGGATGATCAAAATATAAGTGAGTCTTCTTTTCCAGGGTGCACGATGTTTAGTGTACCTCAAAGCTCCAAGTCCGAGTTCCTGGATAAAGCCAGGCAGGCCAGGGAGGAAAGGAAAGGACAGAAGGACAAGGAGAAAGCAGCAATCCACATCCAAGCCCTGGTCAGAAGATTTCTCTGTCGCTGCCGACTCCAGAAGCAAATACGGTAGTCTCCACTTTTATTTATTGCAGATTTACTAGTCACCTGTAATTTGAAGAGCATTGAGCTTAATGTGTGTGCCACCAACATCATTAATAATCATGTTAGGAACTACCTTAAGGAAAGGTGCCCACACTTCAAGATCCATCCCTTTCTTGAAAATCTCTTGCTCCTTCCAGATTCCATGAAGCGAGTATCAAAGTTTGTGAACTGTTGTACTACTTCAGTTTCTTTAGATCTTGTTAGGGAAGTCTGGGCCAGTGACTTGAATTCAGAGATATTGGCAGAGTTCTGGGAAGATTCAGTGTCTTGGTTTCATTGTTGTTCACTTAACTCACGAACTTTGTACTGTTATGGCATTGCAAGGCAATCCTTCTTTACTTCCTGTCAGCTGATGTCATTTACATACACTGCAAAACATCCCAACAAGAATTTAAGGTTCCCATATTTATAGGTTCCTTGTATTTCAATCAGGAAATACCCATTTATGATGTTTATGTTGTCAATTTTGATTAATCCTTTACAAGCTGATGCATAGGCTGCATTACCCCAAGACAAAACTGAGCCACATCTTCCCATCAGTGTCTTTCAAATGCGACAAGTGCAGCTCTGCTGAAGGATCACTAGCACAGCTTTTGGACTGCAGTTTCAGTGGCTTTTAAAAGCTTATTCCAGAGACATTCAGCCCAACCACGACATTGCCATCTTTGGTTGCTCTGCGGAGGCTTTTGAGCTGCTGTACAACATGCAGTTTACTCTACACTTAAGAATGGTGGTTGCTAAAAGACTTATTCTCCTCATGCGTAAGTCTACTGCTCCATTCTGCTATGCACATTGGCTCAAGGACATGTTATGTATTATACAAGTGGAAAGACTGCATAGATCTGAATGGATTTGGGGGCCTTTCTTTGCACAGTGGCATCCACAAGGACCCTGCTTGGCTACATGAGTGTTACTTTACCTTTCTCCTGAGATGATACTATTTTGACAACATCTTTGGAAGATGATTTACATATTTTTGTATACTGTCTGGCACCCTTTTCATTTTGTTCTCTTTGTGTTCCATTTTCCTTTGTATTGTTTTGTTTGTCCTTTCAATATATTTTGGCATTATAAAACCGAAAACTAAGTAAACAAACTATTTTTTTTAAAAAAAGAACATTGTTAGTAAAATAGCAAATATTTGGTTTCATGTTCACGTATCCTTATGTCAATAATTTTTGTCTGTGTCTCATCAGGAAAGAGGTTGATGACTATTTTCAAGCCTCTGAAACTGGGACAACAAAAAGAAATGCACTTTCAATTTTCAAAATAGCTCGGAAATTACTATTTGTATATCGCCCAGAGGATAAGATGGTGAGTTGCCAGCTATGCTGTTTAGGCAAATATGTAATAGCAATATTTAGTGAGCATCTTTAAGTAGCATAAGTTAGTTCACTGTCATCATAATAATGTTGTTTCGGTTACCTGTTAATCCTTTTTTTAATTAAGACAAATAACATACACAACATATGACAACACCCTGCAGATACATATCTGGGGGTCAAGTAGTCATGGGTAAAACTTCCCCTGGCCACCAAACCAGACTCATTATTGGCGTGCTAAGTCCCCCAAACAAGTACCATAACATAAACACACATACAATACATACACACATCCATACACATCCACACAAATGATGCAATACATAAAACAAGCAAACACATACTGACACACATGTATACATATACACGTACACGTAGACACAAATGTGCATTAATGAGGAGTATGTACAGAAATAAGTGAGTGGGCAAAACAAGTAACAGCATAACGTTATGGTGGATCAGTGATAAGAACCTGTTAATGCTTACTTTGTGACTCAAATGACTGTAATTTTGTACATTACACAGAGGTTCGAGAAGCTCTGTCGTGCAATCCTTGCCAGCATGGAGGTTGAAAATGACTCTAAAGTGAGTGTGCATATGCTTAGACCATCCATGTATCAAACAATTTTTAAATGGGATTTTTGTCTGAGTGACTGTTCTCACATTTGGCCCTCAGGTCTGGTATGTTTCCTTGGCTCTCTCCAAAGACCTCACCATCCCCTGGCTCAAACAGATAAAAGACGTGCTATGGACTTGCTGTCAACTACTTAAAAATTTAAAGGTTAGTCTTGATTTGACGCTGGGAAATGTGTTTTGATATTCATTGTATGACTTTAATTGTATGTATCACTGTTTTGTCATATGCAGCCTGACATACTTCAGGACAATAAATTGGTAACGCTGTACCTCACCATGCTGGTGACCTTCACGGACACTTCAACCTGGCGGATAGTCAGAGGGAAGGGTGAGTCTCTGGCCAAGGTGGCATTGTTATTATTATAAACATCCAATTTGTTTTTGCAGGACATGCTTTTTGCCAAAAAACACAACACCTTCCTCTCATTATTTTAACAGAAGCTCTCAGACCTGCTTTGACAAGGATTTGTGAAAATATAATGGGCCATCTGAATCAAAAGGGATTCTATTCAATACTTCAGGTTCAGTATTACAGCTCGTACTTTTCAGTCTTACCATGAGATTCAGTGAAGTAGTGTGACACATATTTTCTTCCTCAGTGCCAGTAATATAAATGCACATTGTACATCACTTCTCTTGTATAGATCTTGCTGACCAATGGCTTGGCTCGTTCTAAACCGTCTCTCTCCAAAGGCACTCTAACAGCTATCTTCTCTTTGTCATTACGGTGAGCTGTGTGCTGCTTATTTGATGGATGTAACTGCTGTTCAAAAATAAGATAATACTCCAGTTTTAATACAAGTGGTGGAGACATGTTATATCCAGTTAGCTTTGTGTTTTGTGGTTTTATTTGCAGGCTGTCCTTTTGACTAAATCAAATATTTTTCAGGCCAGTCGTTGCTGCTCACTTTTCGGATAACCTGCTAAGATCCTTCCTCCTTCACATCATGTCAGTCCCAGCTGTCGTATCTCACCTCAGTGTGCTTACCCCAGAGGTAAAGGCCCTGTCACATATCACATGTTGTTGCAAAGCGGTACTGTATGTCATAATTTGAACAATAAGAGAGTAGGTTATAAAATCTCCTAATGTCTTAACAGTGTATGGCATCCATCCAGACGCATGACCTGCTTCGGAAGTTCATTCTGTTTCTCAGCCGAGAAGAACAGTGTTTGGACATCTGTGTGTGTCTTGAGGGGAGCCACACTCTCTGCTTACTTGGTATAGTATTACAGATAAATATGTGCTTCACTGATGCAATCTGGTTGTGGATGGATGAGAGAATTATTTTGTGTTCTGTGGACTATTGATTGTACTGCTGTGACTGCATTTTTCTCATGTTTGATAGGCAACCTGATTCATTTGGGCTACCTGAATGAGAAAGTCCTTGAAGAGGAGGCCAACCATTTTGTGAAGGACCTGACAGACATGCTGTCCTATTGCCAGAGATATGTGTCCCAAAAGAAGTCCAACCTTACCCACTGGCATCCTGTCCTGGGCTGGTTCTCCCAGACTGTAGACTACGGGTCAGTGAAATACTTTATATTCGCTTGAATGGATCCAAATATTCACAAGAAAACTGCACAGAAAATGGGTTTCCAGGAGACCCAGAATATATAAAGAGAGGAAAGGTGTGAGGCTCTTTAAATGCAAAAGTTAACATTTTAATGTGTTATATAGCACAAAAAAGACAGTTGTGCTGTAAAGACAAAGAACACACAGAGATCCCTTGATAGACATACTCAGGCTGCCTGCTTTCTCCTGGGAAAGTGCTTTTTTGGTGGTCTGTCAAGACATCATGTGTTGTACGTGTTTAAAGCATAACTGTGTTTGTACTTTCTGCAAATTACAGATTGACTTTTATTTAAAGGAATACTCAAACCACAAAACGACCATTTGAATATCAATTACTTTCCACGTGTTACGTTAAATCTATGAGGAAAACTCAGGTGCATGGGTAAGTGCACAAGTTTGAACTCTGCTTGTGCAATCCATTGAGTTGCTGAGGCGCACTACTGGTCCTTGTGTGAGTTTATGTGGGTTTTGAATAGAAAGGTTTTAGCAACAATGCAGGTGTTTGGGAAATACCGGGTATATGATTGGATAAATGAGACTTAATTTATACTGCTTGAGTTGTGTGAGAGTTTGTAAACTCTCACACAACTTGTTTGATATAGTTTTGTTGTTGTTAGTTCATCAAGAAATTCTCCTTTTTGGATTTCTTATTCACTGGAAGCATGTGAGAAGACCCAAATTTTCTCTCCAAATTCAACGTAACATGCGGTGAGACATTGATATACACTGATATGTTGGGAAGTATTCCTTTAAGTAGTGTCTCACTTTTACTTTGTTAAAAAGCGAATGCCAGATATGTGACTTGACTTCATCTCGCCTCTGCCTCCTCCTCTTTCCTGTTTCCTGCAGTCTAAATGAGTCAATGCCGCTGGTCACTAAACAGCTTCAGTACCTGTGGGGTGTTTCTGTCATTCGGACGCTCTTCAGTGATGTCCTGTCTAAAAAGCTGGAGAGTCAGGAGCCCACTCCCCCGCCCCCGCAGCCTAGCACATCACAAAACAATCTACCAGTTAAGAGTGAGTTATAAACAAAGCTATTCCAACCTTTCAAGATAAGCACACTCTGTCCTTAAAGGTTCTTCTCTGCATCCCTGGTGTTGTGTCTGTGTTTTTGACAGACCTTTTCAAGCGGGCATTTCAGAAGTCGGCTTCAGTGCGGAACATCCTGAAACCTGTCGGAGGGAAGCGAGTCGACTCAGCTGAAGTTCAGAAGGTGTGCAGCATCTGTGTGCTCTACCAGACTGCTCTGTCTACGCTAACACAGATACGACTCCAGATACTCACCGGTCAGTACCAGAATCTTACTTTTTTAATGTCATACAAACACACAGTATTTTGGAAACATACTGAAAAGTATGAAGTACTGAGTATTTCACTGTGCATTATCTGCAGGTCTGACACATCTTGATGACCTTTTGCCTAAACTCTGGGCCTTTATCTGTGAGCTCGGTCCACAGGGAGGCCTCAAACTCTTCATGGAATGTCTAAACAATGACACTGAAGAGTCCAAGCAGCTCCTGGCTATGCTCATGCTCTTTTGTGACTGCTCACGGCACCTCATCACGTAATTTTACTGAAATTTTTTCATTACCTTCATGTGCATAGGATGCCCAATGTAGCAGCAACATATTATGACACACTGTTTATGTGTTACAGAATTTTAGATGACATTGAAGTCTATGAAGAACAAACATCTTTCAAGATAGAGGAACTCATCACTATCTCCTCATTTCTGAACACATTTGTGTACAAGATGATATGGGATGGCATATTAGGTGCGTGTGTGACTGAAACTTGACACAAATGATGATGACCTGATTGAACAGATACACTTTTACTGATAAAGCTGTTTTGTATTTCATAGAAAACGCTAAAGGAGAGAAACTGGAGTTGTTCCACAGTGTTCATGGCTGGTTGATGGTGCTTTATGAGCGCGACTGCAGGCGAAGATTCACCCCTGATGACCACTGGCTTCGCAAGTAAATACAAACACTTAATTGCTGTTAATATCCTAAACACATCGGCCCTCTGTTTCTGCTTTGTGATTTCATTTTAAAGTTCATCTTTACATCTTTGTGTGTTGCGTTCAGGGACCTGAAGCCCAGCCTGTTGTTTCAAGAGCTGGAGAAAGGCAAGAAAAGAGCTCAGCTTTTACTGCAGTACATCCCACATGTCATCCCACATAAAAATGTGAGTAAGAAGGATCCATATGAAGGATAAAGGATACATATTTCACTTTCCTCTTACCTGTAGTGCTATTTATGAATCAAGATGGTTTTGGTGTGAATTTCCAAGTATTGAAGATATCGATTGCTAGCTCACCTAGCACTGCTGAGTATTACAGCATTACAGCTCAGCCAAGGAGGATGCCATTAATGTTTCATCTGACACTGTCATGAGCATGAGTCTCTTGTCCATGAGTAGATGTGCACTGCCCTATGCACATTGATAGGTTTGGCAGGTGTAGTTGTGTAGACAGAAAATAGACATGAAACTGCTCACAACAAGTGCTGTGGATTATCTTGAGTAACTGGGTCATGATTTGGCGCTTTGAATGCCACAAGCTGAGTGCCATCTAGCTCCATTACATTCAAGAGAAGGCAGACATCTCTACAGCTGATATCTCCAACACTCTGCAACTCACACCAAAACAATCTAGATTGATAAATAGCACTATAGGTAAGAGGAAAAATATGTGTTCTTGATTTTGGGGTGAATTGTCCCTTTAAGACAGTGTCATTTCATTTTCAGTTGTGTAATTTCTTTCCCTCTCATTTCAGAGGGTGCTGCTGTTCAGAAACATTGTTACAAAAGAAAAAGAAAGTTTAGGACTGGTGGAAACAAGCTCAGCTTCACCTCATGTCACCCACATAACCATTCGTCGCTCACGGATGCTGGAGGTAAGGAGTCAACAGATCTGATAGATCTTTTTTTTTTTAAAGAGAGCACAAATGTATATGTCAGTTGTTCATAATAACCCGTTTCCCTGTCCTAAGGATGGATACGACCAGCTCCGCAGATTGCCGGCAAATTCCATAAAAGGCGTAATTCGTGTGAAGTTTGTCAATGATCTGGGAGTAGACGAGGCTGGTATTGATCAGGATGGTGTGTTCAAAGAGTTTCTAGAGGAGATCATTAAGAAAGTGTTCAATCCTGCTCTCAACCTGTTCAAAGTAAGTCGGGCAGATAGATTTTTTTCTTCACAACACTGCCGCTGATATTGATTTTACGATTTTGTGTGATATAATTTTTATTTTCTGTAGACTACAAGTGGAAACGAAAGGCTGTATCCTTCACCCACGTCTTACATCCATGAGAACCATCTGCAGCTGTTTGAGTTTGTGGGGAAGATGCTCGGGAAAGCCATATATGAGGTATGCCTTCTGAAAACATGCCCTTATTGTTAATCTCCCTCTGAATAATGTTTTAGGTGATTTCAGTGAATGTGTAATTATGATTTCTGTATGCTCAGGGCATTGTTGTGGATGTCCCTTTTGCCTCGTTCTTCCTCAGTCAAGTCTTGGGTCACCACCACAGCACTTTCTACAGCTCCATTGATGAGCTGCCCTCGCTGGACTCTGAGTTTTATAAGAACCTCACTTCCATCAAGGTCGGCTGGGATTACACTTGGACAGTTTGTTTTTCAGTAATTTATCCCATTTTATTCTCCATCTCACATCTTTCATTTTGTTTTTTATTTTTTCAGCGCTATGATGGAGATGTAGGAGATCTAGGACTGACGTTATCCTATGATGAGGATGTTATGGGGCAGGTAAGAACGGAAAGTGTGAAAGATATAATAGTTAAATACATGAAATTCACAAATTCAAAGCTACTTTTTCCCTTTCCGTATAGCTTGTCTGTCATGAGTTGATACCCGGGGGCAAAACCATGCCAGTCACCAATGAAAACAAGTATGTAAATTCATATTCAATGGCACTGACCCTCTTTAAATGCAAAATGTCCTTTTTCTGATGGTTGTCTACTTAACAGAAATCATTTTCTAACTGTGACCTAACACGATGTCCCGCAGGATCAGCTACATCCACCTCATGGCTCACTTCCGGATGCACACGCAGATTAAGGAGCAAACGGCGGCTTTCATTCGGGGCTTCCGCAGCATCATTAACCCAGAGTGGTTGCACATGTTCTCCACGCCTGAGGTTCAGCGTCTTGTCTCGGGAGATAATGCTGAGATTGATCTCGATGACCTCAAGTATGTGACATTTCAGACATGTTTAATTAGCAGACAATTCTTCTTCTATTCTTGCTGTGCCACTGCAACAGTTTTACTCACTGTAATGCTTCTTCAGTAAATGTGTCCCAAATCTAGCAGGAATTTTCCCCTCAACCAAAACACTCAATTAGAGATGCAACAGCCCTTTTCCTTCATCTATGCTCCCTGTGCACAGAGATGCTCATCCTTGTCTTCTTCTCTTTCTCAGGAAACACACGGTCTACTATGGAGGTTTTCACAGCAGCCATCGTGTTATCATCTGGCTGTGGGACATCCTGTCCAGTGACTTCACTGCTGAAGAGAGGGCTATGTTCCTTAAAGTAAATTGTTATTTTGGTTCTGTCTACTTTAACTGTCACAGCCAAAAGTAGCTAATTTTTACACCAAATGGTTTTCTGTCATCTCGTGTATTCTTTGTGTTTGTTTCCACAGTTTGTTACCAGCTGCTCCAGGCCGCCTCTTCTAGGTTTTGCCTACCTCAAACCACCTTTCTCCATCCGTTGTGTGGAAGTTTCAGATGATCAGGTAAGAATAAAAAATGAGAATAATGATGCATCTAAAGGCCCAGACACGCCAAACTGACATCAAAGAAATAGTGGCGACAAAGGCCGATAGTTGCGTCACCTCATGTCAACTGTGTCTCAGCCAAAAAGTTGAACACACCACAAAGACGACAGCCAATGGCCAACTCTCACGTATGTTCTGCACCTGTATGTGAGGATATAACTCTCCAACAGCAGAGAGTGGTAGTCTGTACTCTTCATTGAAAAAGGGAATCCGAAAGACCAACAGGACGTATTCAAGACGCTAGTTAACACATTAGCACTTTGTTAAAGAACAAAGGATATCTACTGAACACTAGGGAAAATAACACAAATAATTCTGAGTCTTTTCTGAGAAAGAGCTTAATTGCTTAAAAAAATAATTTTACCTTCTACAACAAGTTTATTTCGGTCTCATCTCTTGACTTTGGCTGTTTGTTTGCTTTCCTCACTTCTGTTTCTTTTCTTGTGCACTTAAACTTTGTCGTGCAGCTAAACTGTTTATCAAAGGGATTCAACGTGGTAAATCGGCTGACAAAAAGCAGACAGGGGCTGACGAGTGCTAGTGTGGGTCTGTTTGTACTAACAGAGTATTTCCTTTGTCCAGGACACCGGAGACACCCTCGGCAGTGTTCTTAGGGGCTTTTTCACTATCCGCAAGAAGGAGCCTGGTGGTCGACTTCCCACTTCGTCAACGTGCTTCAACCTGCTCAAGTTGCCCAATTACAGCAAGAAGAGCATCTTGCGCGACAAGCTGCGCTATGCTATCAGTATGAACACAGGCTTTGAGCTCTCCTAACTGTGTTGCACCAAGACAATCTTCACAAGGGGGTTGTGTTAAGCAGCCTGAGCCGAGCAAGAGGTTCGGCTTACATGGACTGGAGCCTGTCAAGTCAACAGGCCATCACATAAACAAAAGGGGGTGTCATGAAGGACCTACAAACTCTCCTTTTGTCTCTTTTTCAAACTGGATGAGCTCTGCTCTACTTCAGTCCACTCCCTCACATCAAAGGGGATGCTGTCTCTGCAGCACAATCCAATTTTTAGCATCTCCCTTTGCCACTCTCAAAATTCAATATGTCATGTATTTAACTTGATGAAAGACGGATACACAGTGGCTAGATCTCTGTTTCTCAGGCTTAACAGAATCACGCTCAGATCTAACGCTCCCATTTTAAACGAACTGGAAAGCAATACAGATGCAATGCAAGCCATTAGACACGTGGTCGACTCACTCAAGTGGAACCAAGCATTGTTAATACACGTACAAGCTTGGACTCCATTACCCAAGCAACTTTTAGCTGATATTGGATGAGTCGTAAAATGTTTTGCTGAACATAATGCATCTTTTATAAATGGAAGTCAAATCAATGTCTGTGTTCAACCTTCGTGGAGAAGGAGCAGCTCACAGCAGCGATCCTGTGTTGATTACATTACGTCCCATTTCAAGGAAAATCTTTTGACCGCACTACATGTGTCCCCACTACAAGACACTGCAGTCACCTGAGAGAGATGTTGGCCCTCTGATTTTTAGCATTGAAAATGGAACTCCTGCTTCAGTTTTGGTGAAGCAGCAGAATCCTGCTGTTTGATTTAGAAAAGATGTCCGTGCTGTAACATTTACCTTTTGAGTAAAAAAGAAGCTGAAATTGTTTGGGCACTATTTATATCCGTCTAGTAAAGGAGACACCGCTGTTCACACATCTGTGCTTGACCTCCACTCTGAAAAAACGAGTAAAGCTAATGATGGTGTAAGTCTTTGTACTTAATACTAGTGAAACTGAAGATTTCTCACTACACCTTTGAATAACGCTCAGTGCCTCATATAACACCACCCCCCCGCTCTCATATGTCTGACAGTACTCCAATAGTAACCAGTAACCACGTGTATCGGAAACAAGCCATAGATATGGGGGCTACGTACCTGGACTTATTCTCTGCTCCGACTAACAAAAAAAAATCTGAAATCCAAACACTCTACTACAACAACAGCAACGACCGAGGAGGGTTTCACTGCAATGCCCTCTGAGCTCTGTGGACGTTTTAAGCCATGTCGAAAAAGAATTAGAGGTTTGAAAACCTCTCAACATGATGTCATGGACTGGTTCGTCAACCAAATGTGACTGTGCTTGATTTGATGTTCCCTTGGATGGAAATGTTGCACACCTTTCTGCTGTTTGTGGCTGTTGGTGGAGGGAGAAGGGACATGAGGGTGAATGTCACCTTATCAGCCTAACTTTACACAGGGTTTCATTACATCATAAAGTTAAGGAAGTTTACCAGAAAGAGGACTGCAGCTTTCAAAGAAACTATCAAATCTTTACTAAGTTCTTTATTATGCAAAAAATGTTTTCTTGTCATGAATGAGTATGGATACTTGTTAATAAGTAACACAAGCTATAGAAAATACTGGTCATTATTGCCATGTTTCTAACTAGTATCGTCATGGCCGTTAACTTGTGTGAAAACAACAAAAAAAAGTGATTATAATTATATATAACACCGGTTGTACTAAATTTACTCGCAGTAAACTAATGAGATTAAAATATTTTCAGATCTGACAAATCAGTCATGAGGATCTTGCTCCATTCTCCACCTTTTAATCTGTTCCAGCAACAAGTGGAAACACTGCAAATGGATGCGCACGACATGCTTTACACCCAAGTCTGTGTTGGTGTGCGAGAGAGATGAAAGATACCTCACAAGCTTGTCTGTCTCGTGATGAGGTCACTCATCTGTTTAAAAATGATGTCAAGAGTAGGCTAGACTTAAAGTGTACCAGTGGACTGCTGATGCTGACCTTTGACTATCCGCTCTTTTAGTACAAAAAAAAAAATAAAATAAAAACGATTCTGGAAATGTTTCCACCATTCCTGTGAAAGTTTTCATCTCTTTTTAAAGTGTCTTTGAGACTGGCTGCACTACAGTATGGAGCGTGTTGTTGTTAAAACAGATGTAAGATTTGTCCATGTGTAAGATACTTTTCCCCCTGTAATGTTAACTCATGTACACCAGTATAATATAAATCATTTCTTTAAATCATCTCTTCAAATCAGTGTTTTTCCTTCTTAAAGCACTGACTGACAGTGTTTCAGCTCTTTACATTGAATTAATTGGTTTATTGCAAACACCTGCTGAGTCTGGAGCAACACCACAGTGGATCTGAGCATGGGACTGAAGCAGTGACAGGCTGATGATTGACAGCAAGCTTTGTTTTAAACATTAACAGCAGGCTGTGGGATTTCATTACACCGCAGTTTCTTGTTTTCCTGAATAGTGTGCATGGCGGATTATGGTGTAAATGCACAAGTCTCGTTGTGCTCCGTCCCTGCACTGCGCGTCTCTTCATGAAAGGTGAACAGGAGGAACCTGCACAATAACCATGAACAGTCCGCCAAGCCCTTCTCCAGCCCGATGGTTCAAAGCGCTGCGAAGGTAATGTTATATTTTAATTTACACTATGTACATGTTTGGTGATAAGACAACATGCGATCTTAATGTTTTAATGTGTGTAAGTTCTGTCCATTGATGACATACCTCTCAGGAGCTGAGCCTGTAAATATTCAGGGCTCAGCCCAAACCTAAGGGGGCCGGGGTCATGCTCCCCCTTGCAGATTTTTCCCCCCATTTAGGGCACACTTTTTTCAAGCCGTTTGAGATGATAGCATGCCTAAAAATCTGCACATCATTTGGAAAAAACATTACAGCTGCCAAGGGAAATAAATCCTCCTGTAGAGCTTATATCTTGTTTTGTAGTTAATTGTTCTCCAACTGTCTTCATCATTCTGAAATTATATCACTACATATATTTATGCTGAGGATTCACACCTGCCTCCTAAAAAGAGGCAAAAATTGTCTTCTGTAAGGCTACCATTTTTAAATTACATGACATGACATGCCTGGAAATGTATGTATTTAATCATATATTCTTTCTTCCTTGTTTTTCATCAATTCATTTAATATATCTAACTATTTTCTTGTGTTATTATATGAACAAGTTACTCTGATTGCCATGGTTTTGACATATTGTTCTTAAGAACACAATAAAAAGCATGATTCAAAATGTTACATAACATAGTAGGGTAGGGGATTGGGCATTTGAACAGCATCACTAATCTTGAAACCTATTTTTGTGATACTGTTCTCGAGTGTAAAGTTCACAGAATGAATGTTTAGCTGACAGATCTGCTGCATTTGAATCTATGCCATAATCATTTGGGGTGCTCTAACTGTAAATCCAGGATCTCCAACACTGACAGAAGAAAAAAACACTTACCTAAATATATTAAATTTCTTTAGGCGAAAAACCTAAACTATTAGGGGCATTTGAGAGAAACCCCCCACCCCGCCACCAGTGCCTTGGAATGGCTGCAGTGACTCTAGCCTTAGTTTGTGTAGCCTACATCACCTGATTGGCTGGATTTGTTAGGATTTTCACTATTCTCCCTGCCAGTGGGGCTTTTACATAGCTGGTGCATTGGCTTAACTGCACACTAACGCCACTCAGAAAAGGTCCAGCAGTGGAGAATAAACATGAGTGGAAAAATAAGGGCATGCTATGCTTGTCAAAGGAATGGCCGCTTAACATGCAGAAGGTACAGACGGTTTAAGCTATGGATCAAGGATGTCTTTTTATTGTCTTATGGTGTTAAAAACTGGTGACATGGCTGCTGTTTCAGGACCAGGCTGGGGGAGCCCTGTTTGAGGACATACCCTCTGGAGTATGAGGATCTGCTGAAGAGGGCAAGAGTTGCTTTTCAAGCTGGACGCACCCTCAAGGAGGGCTTCAGACTGGCTCAGCTGGAGGCTGTGGTGCGGATGCTGGAGGAACATGAGTGTGACTTTGTGGATACTCTTGGAAGGGACCTTCATATGGTGAGGAGTGAAGTGGTCACCTACAATGGCTGTGCTTGTAATGAGAACTGACATAATCTGATTGGTGATTTCTCTCTGTTTTAACCAGCCAAGGTTTGAGACAGTTGTGTCAGAACTGATTCTTGTCAAGAATGAGGCACTTCATGCTATCAACAACCTTAAGAAGTGGATGCAGCCTCAGCATGTGGAAAGAAACCTGGTGAGACAATTGTCCCCTGTTATTCAATAACATCTTCATAATAATAATGGGATTATTCAGGGTTTACACAACCTTTCTGGAGAGCTTATTCTGTCTCACTGCAACAAAGAAAAGTATTGTGCCGGACCCACCAAAGCAGATTAAAACTTATGTTGCCTTGCCCTTTTTGTAAGAATGAATTCAGCCAAGGTCCATTTCTTTCTGTTAGTCAACCTGCACACTAATAAACTCTGCCCTTTTTCACTCATAATGGTTCTGTGTCACTTGTAACCTATTTTTGAGCTCATCTGACTGGTTTAGTCCACCACGTTGGATGAGTGTCTGATGGTCAGTGAGCCACTGGGGGTGGTGTTCATCATGGCGACCTGGTGCAGTCCTGTCCAAACATGTCTGGTGCCGCTGGTAGGGGTCATCGCAGCAGGTGCAGAGACTCAAGACACTCATTTAATCAATTTAATTCTGGTCTTATTTATCCTCACACAAGCTTACTGATTATGTCATTAATTTGGATAGGAAACTGTGCAATCATCAGCCCCCATGAGTACACCACTCACACAGCAGAGCTTCTTCATCGTCTCATCCCCTTTTACTTGGACAATGTGAGTAATTACACAGCAGTGAGGATAGATGATTATCATTTTGTTTCAACAAACCTTTTCAGTATAGAAGTATCACAAAAGCTGACTTTTTTTTCCACTCAAATATTGAGAGGTTGACTAATTGCTATATCTACTCATTTCGGGCCTTAATGACTCATTTGTATGAAACTGCTCTTGACGAAGTGTGGCATCTAGTGGAGAGGTTGCAGATTGCAACCAACTGAATACCCCTTCCCTCGATTCTCCATTTCTGGACGTGTAGAGAGAATACTGTGGCCTTTAGATGATGTAAAAAAAAAAAAAAAAAAAAACAACCCTTGAAAATTCTTCCCTAGAACAAGTGTTTGGTTTGTCCAATCAGGACTACTTGAAACATGGTGGTGCAACATGGTGGGCTTTGGCACATGAGCATATGGGAGAGGTTTGCCTGGAGGCCTTTCAGCCAGATAATTATTCATTCTAATCCAAACAAAGATATATATTTATTTAACCTTAACAAAGAAAGCCCTTCTGCAAACTTCTCCCAGGAGATGGGCTCTGTGGAAGAGGACAGTGGTTCAAATTTTCAAGACCCACTGCTAACCTAGAAATGCAAAGACCAATAACACACCACTTCACCATCATCACAAATTACCAATTAATTCCGCAACCCAACCTAACTTGATGACAGAAGATCTTCAGCCTGACCAGAAAGTGCAAATCCCCAAAAAATATATGTGAAACTAAGATATTTTAAAATGAAGGTAAGATGCTTTCATATTCTGGTTGGCGCAAAAGACCGAGCCGACACACGTCAGCAGCAGGATTAAAGTGTTAAAATATAAATTTATTCTTCTTCTCATTTTATTTTAATACATCATCTGACACCAGTGATCTGGCCTGTGTTATTATTTGTACCAGAACTGAGCCGGCAAAATAAAATTGAGACAAAATACCAACCGCAAATCACCTTTTTTGCAAGGCACCCACCAAGTACCCCGCAAAAAAGGTACCTAAGTTGCCCAACTGGATGCAGGACTCTGGTCCCTATGCAGACATTAAGTGCTCATTCTAAGCTAATGAAACCACAATGATTCTTACTTTCAGGTAATTATACATACATGAAAGGAAAATTATGGCTATTATATTAAGTTTCTACCAATAGATCTCCCTAAATCCTACACATGGGAACTTTAAAGAGGTTAGACTGGGTCAAGTCTGTGAGTATGAAATATAATCTGTTGTTATCCCAAGACCAACTCAAATGTTTGCTCACAGACTATGACTCCGCAGTTGTATTCTGTGTATTGATTGACAGTAAGGACCTACAGTGCTACATTAAAATGTAATGATCTAAAATTCTTGTTTTCCTCAAGGAATGCTTCCATGTGATTCTTGCAGGCACACATGACTTGCCTGAAGTTGTGGAACTTAAATTTGACCATGTCTTCTTTACAGGTAAAGATAACCTCGGCTATAAAACCATTTTGTGATTATTTATTGAATTATTCTTAAAGATGTCTTTCAATCCGTAGGCAACAGGGAGGAGGGAAGCAGAATTGCTCAGGCTGCAGCTCGCACACTCACACCCATCACACTGATTTTGGGAGGCAAGAACCCATGTTATGTGGACCAACACTGTGACATTGCCACCACCGCACAGCGCATCACCTGGGCACGTTTTCACAATGTTGGACAGAGCTTGGTGGCTCCTGACTACATCCTTTGCCACACTGATGTCCAAGTACGGCTGGTGCAGGCCCTGAAGTGCTGCCTGATGCAGTTCTACGGTTCGGATCCCAGAGAATCCCGCAGTTACGGCCGCATGGTCAATCTAGAAGTCTTCAACCGTACGAGAGAAATGCTGTGGAGATCAGGCAAGGTGGCTGTGGGTGGGCAAGTGATTGAAGCAGAAAAATATATTGGTAAGCATCTTCTGTGTGGGATTCAATGAAAGAAAGCTAACTGTGTCATATGCATTAAGTTTTATATTGTTATTAACTTCTTTATTATGTCTGAAGCTCCAACAATCTTGACAGAGGTAGTAGAATCAGATCCCATTATGCAACAGGACATTTCTGGCCCAGTCCTTCCTGTTCTGACTGTGAACAATGTGGATGAAGCAATTGCCTTCATTAATAAGCAAGAGAAACCCCTCTGTGTGTATGCATATTCCAGCAACAGCAAAGTATGTGACAGGCTCAAGTTAAGACACTCTGTATTCATTATACAAGCCTGGTGCAGCTGATGTGCATTCTGATCATGTGTTGGCCTTTCTGACAATGCAGGTCATCTCAAGGCTAATGAGTGAGACCTCTAGTGGAAGCTTTTGCTCCAATGACAGCGTCCTGCAAAGTCTGATGGTGGCTCTGCCTTTTGGAGGAGTTGGTAAGTCAGTGGCAGCAGAGTGCAAATTAAACTGAACATAGTGGAGGGATAATTTTAACTATGATATATAAATTCTCTTGACACTTTTTTTACAGGTGCCAGTGGAATGGGCTCCTACCATGGACGCTACAGCTTTGATACCTTCTCTCACAGGAAATCATGCCTGCTAAGAGGCACACGTTTTGAGTGTGTAACTTATCTCCGTTATCCGCCCTATGAGGACCGCAATCTGTCTCTAATGACATGGGCCAGTACCCTGTCCCAGAGGAGCCAGGGCTGGTGCCAGATCCTGTGACGGTGGGAGGGTCAACGGAGCCATGTTGGAAGAAAGCCGGGTGCACCCTAAGTCCTGAATAGTTGTGACATGCAGATGTATTGTTCGTGTATTAAAAATAGATGAGAACAAAAACAACTGGGGTACAGCCACATCTAATAAAGGGGGGGGGGGGGGGGGTATATATCAACCCTGGGTGATGACAACTGTAAAACCAACAAGAACAAGAGATACTCTTCAGTATTTTAAATTTCTCTGCTGCAGCACAATAACTGTATACCACCTCAACTACATATGTGTTCAATGAAACATTAGTTGCGCAAAATTAAATAACCAGGATGTACATTTATCGGCTGAATGGTTTAAGATTTAGCAACACTGAAGTATATTACCACCGATATTCTCACATTATGCTAAGAAGAAAGTTGCATCAAAATAAGACAATAATTCTAGTCCTCATTCATATTTATTGATATATTTAAAATAAAAGTGAAATCTCTGCAACATCAACCACTCTTTGTCTTATTCCTCATGTGAGAATCTGGTCATTCAGGTCTTGTGTAGATTTTCTCCTCGTTCCCTTCTTTCATGGCTGCATATCTGGCTGCAGTGAACAGGTAGTCGCTCAATCTGAATGAAAATGTTGGGACTTTTATCAGATGTGTAACAGAGGAACCATGTTCTCATATTAATTTCAAAACACTGGACTGACCTGTTCAAATACTTGGCAACATCTGGATCTGCCTCGCCTGACCGCACAATTGGAGCAACACTGTAACAAGAACAAAGATCTGTCAGGACCTACTGAGCTGGAAAAGCAACACAAAGGGGGTGAATTCTACGTCATAGATGGCGAGGAACATGCTGCAACTGACCTGCGTTCAGCTCTCCGGCACACTGTCCGAGCCAAGTGCAAAGCCGCGCTGCCCTTCCCTCCAGACTGTGGAGCACCAAGCATATGTATCAGTGCAAAAGCAAAACCTGAAATGTCAAAAGAAATTTTGTCTTACAGATCCACAAATGTGCTTACTGGTAAAATGAAGTTGGTCAGTGGAGGGAGTTCTTCTGTAAATGTATCAATCCAAGTTTCCAGGTCTGCAATTGGCTGTGCAGTAAATTTTGTTCTCTCTTAAAAAAACACGACAGAAAAAAAATGAATCCAACAGATCAACAAGCACACAAGACTCAATATTTGACTGCATTAGACCAAGCCAGCAAGTGCATACTTATGTGACTTTCTCTTGCAGATGATCGAGGGGTGGCAATATTGGAGCCCACGTCTTGTAAAATGCACTGTATCTGAAATGTAAAAAGCAAAATACTGTCAGAAACATACATGCATATATAGATCTGCATTGAAGAACGATAATAAATACAATATGAAAAACAAACCTTGTCCAGCTGATATGTGAATGTGTGACCTTTGTCAAGGCAAAATTCTCTGGCCAACCTGTAAAGTACAATTCAACACAGTCACTTAAAGTGAGGCAGATTATAGATAAAGTTTTAAAGTGAACTGTGATGGTTGAGTCATGAAAATTTTACCCTATAGCTGACGACAGCTCATCTGTATTTCCCAAGGCTTCAAAAATATGATCTTCCTTTGGCCTCCTTTCTCCTGTAAATGTGCTTGAAAAACCTTTTAGGAGACACAGAAAGAACTGAGTCAGCCTTTGTAAGCACCACCTATGGTAACAGTGCTGTAACATGTTCGGTCACTGGTTCCCAACCTGGGGGTCCTGACCCATTAGGGGTTGCAAGGCCTTCTTGATATTAAGGAGCATAAGATCTTTTTAGTTTTTTAAATATACAGTAGGCCTATATTTCAGCATTTCATTAATTTATGTGGAGAAAAAGAAATGAATTTAATATTTAAGTGTACATTATAATTCAAGATATAAACTTAAAAAAAAAAAATCTCACAGCAAGCTTTATGCCTATTAGAAAGGTGCAAAGTTAAAAACCAAAGAGCTTGTAGAACAATGGCTACACGTCAGAAAGACAAACAAATGCACAATGAATTTGTAAAAAACAGAAAAGTGTGATAGGTATGTATGATAGTGACAGAGAATCTAATAAAAGTCCCTAACAATATCAGGAAAACTCATCTCTAGTGCAAAACTCACAGGATAAAATCTGCTCAAAATGTATCCAAATCTCCTTTTACACAGTTTGCATTCACTATTTGGGTTAATTGTAGTTAATGAGTTGTTCTATACTGTTGTTATGAGTTGAATATATTATGAAATATCCATAAAATATGCCACTTAGTCAAGGGCCATCAGTTTGCTCAATAACATAAAACAGTGGGTCACTTTAAGAAATAAGGTTGGAAACCACAAGCCTAGGTATTTTGAAACACAACCTTTGTCTCCAGTTTTGGTGTATATTTTGGGTACTCTGCTGTCTCCTTCAGTGGCATAACTGTTTGGAAAAAAAGAAAGATGACAGAGAAAAACAATTATTTTTGACTTATTTGATAAATACTAATAGATAACACAACAAATAACGCGTGAACACATTATGAAAATGCATTTTTGTTTCACTTGGTCTTAAAATATTCAAACAATGCTCCAGTTTGACAGATAAACTTTAGCTAATGTGCTAAAATTGCCTTCATTTCAGAGAGTACACTGTGTAGTAGCTACCTAGCTAGCACTTTGCTATGTTACATAGAGTTAACATTACATCAGCGACATAAACAGGAGCTCCACACTTTGCCTTCACCTTCTGTATGAACACAATGCGCTCCTATTCCGATGCTCGCTTACGAGCCTCGCTGTCCTTACAACACACCGGAGGTGAGCAGGTTTGATAATAAACGATGCCATGTTAGAGTTAGAAGCTGACTGCTAAAGGTTAACAATGTTGGGAAACGTATTTTGACCCTCTGTGATGTCCGTAGTTCATGGGCGTTTCGTTTTCATCGCACGATTGGTCAACTCACCGTGTGGTGGTAGAGCGCGGGACGCTGATTGGATATAGTAATATGTGTCCGACTATCTGCGGCACTGATTGGATAATAGAAGCCAAACCTATCTTGGTCCCTCCTCCTGTGTGTCAGTAGTGTTTTTAACATGGTTTTGTCACGCTACCTTGAAGAGGGTCTGTGGTCAGAGCAACTTGCAGTACTTTGACCAAAAAGAAAAATGTTTTGTTAAACTTCCTATATTCGTCGAGTCTTCATGAAAAACGCAGAGCTGTGAGACAGAGTTGTCAGTTGCTTGTCGGGGCTTCAGAGGATTAACATTAGCTAAAGGTGGCTAAGCTAGCTTATAATATCAGTGTCGGTGACAAGTTGAACTTGAAGCTTCCCAGTTCTGGTGAGATATTTGCTCTCTGGAAACTGTGACAGAAATGCAAGTCAGGGAATTGTTCGTGTCTGCTCCAGGGAAGGCGATCCTCCACGGAGAGCATGCGGTGGTGCACGGAAAGGTAACCTGAAAGTACAGCTAACAGAGAGTTTTTATAAGTTGCGTGTCTAGCCAGTCTTGAACGAAAACTTAAGTACATGCATTTTTAAATGTGATATGATACAAGTACATCTTTGCAAGCTGATTTTCCTACTGTTCCCTAAAGAAAGGGAAACCAGTAATTACCCGGAAGGTAGAAAAAAACAGATCCAGCAGACAGCAAACTGTGGTTTAGTTTTGGATATCACTTGAAATGATGTGCATTAAATGGGCTAAAAGTCTGACAAGTTAATCACCCTGCGTTCTCTGCTCTGTTCCAGGTAGCTCTTGCTGTGAGTTTAAATCTGAGAACATACTTACGGCTGAAAGCCACCACATCTGGCAAAGTTTGCATCAACCTCCCAAATATTGACACATTCCTCTGCTGGGACCTGTCTGAGCTGAAGCGGCTTATTTCTTATTCCCGTGGTAAGGAGTGGTGCAGCACTGGGGACCATTTACACCCACATACACTGTAATTATTACTGTTGGACCTGTGTCATGCATCTCATACTCCAGTACACGCCAGGACATTTTAGTACTGAGACTTTTTCCAGTGTCCAAAACAGTTTCTATTGATAAACATTAACACCAATGACATCTAATTATCAGATTAGTTTGTTATGGTGTCCATCTTTGGACATACTGTTAACTTGGATAACTTACCTTTGGCCAGATGAATATTGTGTGCTTTACTGCAGTTAGTATTTCTCATTATAGACACTATCTTTTATGTATGTTTTTCATACACCCACAGATTAAAGTGTGTGTTGTTGTGATATTACTCAAGTGATGCTGATGATTGCTGTGCTCTGTAACTCATGTTAACAGATACGAGGGAGGAGGTGAAACTTCTGGATGCTGAACTTGTGAGGAGACTGCGTGAATTCGTTGGTGTCACCAATGGAAACTTGGATACTTGCAACATGGCCACCCTAGCCTTCCTCTACATCTACCTCTCACTGTTTGGATCAGGGTGAGACAGAAATTCTCTGCATTTTCTTTCATTTTATCATTCTAGCTAGTTGGCTCATATGGCCACAGAAATCACATTACATCTTACAGATATTTTTGATATGATGGAAAACCTGAGACTGGGCTCAGCAAATATCCAATTGCAGAGCTATAGCACCAGTTGTTTTAGGCCAATCTAGGGCACCTTTGGCAAGAAAAGTAACAGCAGCAACCGCTAAAAACCGCAGATGTAGATCGAAATCAATATTGAAAACAATCGTGTCAGCCCAAATCTGGACTTGCAGATTTGGCACTTTTCACCTGTAGGCGATGAGTGTTGCAGCTGCATCTCTTTTTTAATAGCTACTGATTGTGTGTATGTGAGGGGGAGAGAGTAGAAGGAGAGATGGAGAGAGAGATAGACTTTGAGGAGCAGCATTTTCTGCTGAATACTTGGAAGTGTGCACTCAGCTCATGTCATCATGAGTCCTCTGCTCTCCAGGATTGTGTGCTTTGGGAATGGGGGGATGGGCTCCTCACCAGATTTGAGACTCACTTATCCAATGATTAAGTCCCAGGAAAAAAACTTTGTTTCGGAAGGGAAGTAATGAAGAAATAGATTTACAACTTCACCAGCTTACATTTGGTGTTTTACAAACAGAAACTGAACAATGTTTTTGTTAGTATTAAATGTTTTCTAAGGGATAGCTCTACATAATGATGTATTAATATTCATTATTTTATTTTAGCTAATAGGTGGCGCAAGTGTTAAATG